TCTATTGTCCACACCATGAGATTGTAAGTAGATGAATATCATTGAGGAATTGTGACAATAGGTTTGAGTGGAATATGTTAGAACTGTGTGATCAATAACAAAAATTGCTTAAGCAAATTGCCAACTAATAATAGACTTTATTCAGATGACCAGACTTCAAGAGCTCAGAAGCTCTGCTTAAGGGGCTTAGATTTACCCAGATGTATTAGTCAAAAGTCAGTCAGGAAACAGAAACAAGTCCAAATTTTTTAAGTAGAAATAAATTTAACACAGGGAATTAGACATAAAATCATTAGAAGAGCTGATAATGCAAAAATGAGGACAGATTACAAGAAATTCTGAAATATAATGAATCCAGCTGCCTGCAACACCAAAGTAGATGATTCTTAGGAGGAAACTCAGAAGCTCCAAACAAAGCCACTGCTGGTCATCTCAGCTGTCCGCCCACAGGTCCTACAGAAGAATAATGGCCTCCCCTTCTCTTCCACTTTCCTAATATCACACAAATGCTTCCAATTACAGAATTTAAACTAGACAATAAAAGAAAGGGATAGTGGAAAATGTAGTTTGGGTTTCTCCCCAGCAGTGTGATGGAGTGTATAAAAAAAGATGATGAAGATGCCCAGTTGACAATATACAAGACAGCACACGTGTACTAAGTCCTTTTCTATGCTAAGCTACATGCAGTTTAAACCTAGAGAAACTAATAGAGCTATGTTTTGTAATCAGAACAACTGTATAATAATTAGACCAGATAGTAGCTGCGTGTGGATTATGACCACTATAATGCTTCCTAAATTGCCCTTTAGAATTTTTGTCACTTTTTTCAAACTAATGGGACTGCATATGAAAACAACCACCACATATGAAAAGCAGGAATTAAGCTAATGAGAAATATGTCATTTTCTATTATTAAACGAACATTTTAAGCCTTTATTAAGACATCATTGGGAGCTCTAAAGATGTGTCACGTGCACTTAGTAAATTGCTCAATAAATGCCTTTGAGTGAGTGTGCAATAAATGACACAAAAAAATTGCTCTGTCACTGAGATAAACAGTGAGACTCTTCTAATGTGTTGGTGACAACAGTTTCACAGTTAATACATTTTTTGAAATTCTGAATTCCATGCCTTCTGATCCTATCCCTAACTTTTCTCATCCAAGTTCTCCCATTTGTAATAATAACAGTCCTCTACCCTTGAAGCTGGAGCTCTGACCATTCCATCTGTTCAGATACTCATAATAATTCTTGAGTAATTCTCACTGAATGAAATGAAAGAAAATTTGAGGAATCTCCAGATTAGGAAAATATGATATCACATAACGTTAATATTTTCTTTTTGTTCATGGTGGTTCTCAGTTTTTCTATACTAGGTTACTTTATTGTCAATTTGGTTGTATAGGAAACTACATTTCCCAAAATCCCCTTCTCTTTATGATTCTGAATATAAAAGTGAATTTTCATAAGAGTTTCATAAGATAGGAAGCAGCCAGCAGTATCTTCTAAAGATCCATTGTTGGTTAAAGATGGTGAAAGACAAACACAGTGGTGTTGGCTGGTTCCATTTTGTTCTTGCTTTCCCCAGCTGGAACCTAACCACTACTAACCAACTCCATAGTACACAAAACTACCATCATCACAATACATCTCAAATGCTAATGGTATCTCATAAGTTACTGCAACAACTTATACCTGAATCTCACACCAATTCACCACGAGTAATTAGTAATTGTGATGCTGTAACCTGTCAGGACTTATCACCAAGCCCACTTACCTCTAATAATGAGATCCTGTTGTCATCCGGCCTTGAATAATTTAATTCAAGAATCTCATCCTGTGTATTTGCTTGTTAAAACTACTTCTGCACCAAAATGCTTAGATTCAGTTCCTCCAAAAGCCAACCTTGAAAAGAGGATTTGAAGATAAGTAGTTTATTTAGGAAATGCAAGAAACACAGCCAGGGAATAGGAGATATGATAGACGGACTATTAAGTACATGGATGGGAGGAAATAGGAGTTCTTTTATGCTATTGATGAGGGTGAAAATTGGTAAGAACATTTTGGAGAGCAATTTGGCAATAGCAAGTAAGTTTTTAAAAGCGTAAATCATATAACCTATCAATGCCACTTCTAGGTGTATAACAGAACATTCTGCACCTTATATATAAGGAAAAATAACTATATTCCTTGTAGAATTTTTATAATAATGATAAATTAGAAACAATCCTTGAGTAAAGGACTAAAACCCTTTCTCCTTCTACATGAAAAAATCAAGTTACTTTTCTACCTCTGTTCCTGTGGAAACCTGATAAAGGTAAAACGTCAGCCATACTACTAGGGAGCATTGTTATGGTAAAAAATGATCTCTGATTGGTAAATTGCATCTGGACTAGAAATGAATGGTGAACACTTGGTAGGAAGCCATAGCTTTGGGGCAGTGATTTTTGTAACTGTTGCAAGAGATATTGGTTCCTATTTGGGGCACAGGACTTCTAAGTCTGGGTGGCCTGTTTGGTCTTGTTCCCTCATACCTAAGCACTTGTTGTGAGAGGGGAAGAGGGAGTTACAGAAAGATAGTCTCTGAATTCCTATGTAGACAGCTGAGGGGATTCCCCTTAAAAACACTCCTGGCGTGAGGGAAGCCAATACTTATATGACCTATTGAGCTTTAAATTTGATGGTCTAATTGAGCCTAAGACCATCACTGATGATGTTTCACAACACAACTGTCCATCAAAAGGGACATATGATATATCTCTAAAACAGGATACTGCATAGCAATAATTAAAGTAATATTTCATTAAAGAAATGAAATATATACATACGTATAAATTTTTCTATATTTCAAAAATATTTTTAATGATGAAAGCAAGTTTTACCATTACATGTACAATAGGACAGCATTCATTAAATTTTAAAAATACAAAATACATCACACATTGTTTAGAGATAAACATACATGTATTAGAATGTAAAAACACGGACTAGAGAAACAAAGTTCAGAATAAATTTGTCTTGGGAAAGAGAAAAGAGAGACTGAGGAGAAAAATAAAAGAGATGGTAATTTTTTCTGTAATGTTTTATTTATTTTTAAAAAATTGAAACTATATTTGAATTAACTATATTTATTAGTATGCAGAGATATAGATCATATAATAATTTTTAAATATTACAATTTGTTCATAGGGCAAATATAATTATCTTAAAATAATTGAGGATTTATTCTTTCTCCTTAATATATTTATGTGTTATGTAAGTTTTTCACAATTATAAAATGATTATGTAAATAAAACAAACTTTGATATCTCAGACAGGGTGGATGGTGTGAGGATGGAAAATGTTTCCCAGGTATGTGAGGTCCTTGTGCCAGGAGTTGTATGTCCTCATACTCAGCTTCAGTTTGGAATTGAAAGAAATTGGCATTTCTACTTCTCATACATCCTGATAAAGTACTGACTTGTGGTCACTTTGGGTCATGGAATTGAGTTGGTGATCATAAATCTCATAAAGATAATCAGCTTCTTAGAGATAGTAGGGAGTTAGTCTGAAAAACAAAAAATATTAAATAAGCATAAATTTCTTATGAATAGTTTTACATCTCTTACCCTATTTCCAGAAAGCCCTCAAAAGCATATAACACAAATAGCCATATCAATACGACATGAAAAATAATGTCGATCCCTACTGGTGTCCCATTTGGCTAAGGTAAATCACTAAATACAATCTACTATTATTCTCTATATCTTTGAAATCCTATAGCCTTAATCTCTTACTTATCACAGCACCAGGAAGAATGCAAATAAAAAGCCCAACCCTCCTCCAGTCTTTCCTCTTACTTTCCTTCAAAGTCATCCTTACAAGGCCTCAGGTGCTTAAGAATACAAAGTTTTCTTGAGGAGGTTTTTATCCTAGCCATGGGCAAGTCATACATCTATTACACGCCCTTTGACCTTTTAATTCCCATTGCAATTCTTAATCAGTTTATCTTCAGGGGCCAGATATTGCTAAACTTTACACATCATTTTAGCAATGTCACACAGATGAGAACCACTTTCTTATATTCAAACAGTGAAATCATATGAAAATAGAATAAAAGCCAAAAAGAAAACAATGACAGCATTTGAAAGAAATTGGCAAAAGTCACTACCCCACTAGTTTTGAAGATTTCTGATGTGGATTTGCAGAATTTAAGATATCAAAAGAAAAGGAATCTATTGTTATGATTAGGAAAAATAAAACAAGCTTTAATTTAAAATAAGTGGACTTTGACATCTAGATATAGCATCTCTCCTTAATAATCCTTGAAGAAACACTAAAAACTTTGAGTTATTCACCCCTGTTTCTGCAATATTCCTAATAGGTTACTAAAATCTTTATGATCGAGCCATATTCTAAGCTATTCACCATTCTAATCATCTCCTCCCTCTGAAATGGTGCACCTAAAAATGAGGGAAAACTATCGGCACAGAGTGGAGCCAGGAAGAAGGATTCCAGGCAAACTATCTTAAAATTACCAGTTTGGGAAGACAGTAATTTTGTAAGAAGGAGATAAGTCATCAAAGGAGTTCACATTTGTTTTGGATTATTGGAAGATAAAATGATGAATGAAAAGTAAAACTTCTTTGTGTCATGTCTCAACTCTCATATCCAACTTCTTGAAGTATATCAGCCCCACACTGGTTCAGCAAGTCCCTGAGCAGCTTTATACTCTGTAATAAGAACAATATGGCAGGGCTGGCCCCGTGGCATAGCGGTTAAGAACGCATGCTCAGCTGCTGGCGGCACGGGTTCGGATCTGGGGCGCGAACCACTGCACCCCTTATCAGGCCATGCTGTGGTGGCATCCCATATAAAATGGAGGAAGATGGACACAGATGTTAGCCCAGGGTCAGTCTTCCTCAGAAAAAAAGAGGAGGGTTGGCATGGATGTTAGCTCAGGGCTGATCTTCCTCACACACACACACAAAAAAGAACAATATGGCTTCTACTATGTCAGGATCAAAAATCTTTCAGAGAAGTTATCCTCTCTAGTGTCTCACAGTTTGTATTCAGCTCCCCTGCAGTCTCCAGCACTGTGTCACTCAGAACACAGAAGTACACAGCTGAGTCACTCCAATGGGCTGAGGATTTCCTCAGGTTGAAGGAAGATTCACTTTTCCTAAATTCAGCCTCAAAATCTCTGATGCCTTTAACCAAGGTGTCCCCTCCAAAGTACTTGAGGAGAAACTGGAGGCCTTGGTTGGGGTACTGGACGTACCAGAAGAGATCAGGAGCTCCACCATAGGAATAGTTGCACCTCAGCTCCAGAGAGGATCCTTCAGAGACCACAAGATGGACATCAGGCTGTGTCACTGACTGAGCTCTGGCGTCTCCTGAAAAATTAATGTCATATGAGTGAAGGCAGTGCAGACTTGGCTATGAAAAGTATTTCTACCAAAATTTGAACTGGAAAACAGTTACTTCTGTAGAACTAGAGACCATAATAAAATATCACTCACTCAGGGCAAAAAGCATCCCCAGTACTGAGATGAGCATTGGAAGCATGGCTGAGCAGTGGGAACGCTGCAGGCTTCTTTCTGGAAGATCTCCCCTGAGTAAGCAGGAGGGTAGCTGTAAATTCCAGCTCTTGGAAATAAGAGGTGTGAGTAAGGCTGGGCTAGAGAAGTCCCTTGTTTAGGTAAAAATACAAAACTGCTGAGGTGATCTTGGGTGCTTTCTGATCTGTTACTTTCACTTGCCTCTGACCTCAAAGAACTCAGAGAAAGTGCTTCAGTTGGCTCTCTGCATGAAGGAGGGGCTGAGGGAAAGGTTCTGATCAAGACAGAAACAGGGATCTCTAGCTTGTGCAACATCGCCCTCTGGAGGCCAGACACAGGACAGAGGATCTGGACTCCTCACAGGAAGCTCATCTGTGCTTTCCTTCTATTTAGAGATGTATCAAAAACTTCCACTGAACATGTTTCTTTCTTCGCTAACATATGATATGTCACCCTCTGTAGCAGGTAATATTAATCCTTGCCTCAATGAAAAATGGGGCCTGTAAAATAGAGGAGTAATTTACTTTACAGAGAAACTGATGACACAGTGAGTCTATCAGACTTTGGAGTCCATTAGAGCCTTTATGTCAAAGCAGTGGAGCCATTCTTTGTGCAGAGATAATCAGGTCAACCTCCTTAGGCAGAGCTCTGCATGGCCTCACTGGCAGTAAGCATCAGATTGAGAGGAGTGAAGCCAGGTACCTGAGTGTTACTGTAGATATTAAACCAATTTGCTGTTTTCCTGTTTAACTTGAGGGGTGACTCAGGGGTCTCCAGGATTTCTGAGCTTGTTTTCCAGAGGATTTGTGAGATTGTTTTACAGAAGAAAGAGAATGCCTTTGGTGAGGTTGCAATCATTGGATGGCAGGCCCTCATCAGCCATTGAAGCCCAGAAATCAGATTGCCCAAGGGCTTATTGAGAGTAACACCTTTGTTTCCCCAAATCTCCTCCTGCCAAGCCCCTTAGCTCTATAAAACACCCCTGCCTTCTGTTCTTGGGGAGGCAGACTTGAGTGAACCCTGTCTCCCACCTACTTATTTTAACCAACGAATAAATCTTTCTCCATCTCCAATCACCGATGTCTCAGTGTTTGGCTTGCTGTGCATCGGTCACACGAACTTGAGATTAAGAGGTTCCATATCCGGAGGACATGGTAGGATGCAGAGATAATTGCTTTGGCTGGTGAAATTAAAAATAAGGTCAGACAAACAGAAGAACAGCTTGGGACACAGGGCCTCATCTATGAAAATAAAAAAAAGACTATCTTTGTCTACTTTAAGCAGAATTGTGAAGATTCAGTGGCTTCAAATCAACAACGATAATAATAATAATATTCAGATATAAACTAAAATCCAAGTGCCATCTGCTTAGAACGTGACTGGAATATTGTACCCAATTCTGGCTACCACGTCATCAAGAGAATATTGATAGACTTGCATATCTACACATGGAACTGAGTAGACAGATGAAGGCATTGTGAAATAAACATATAAACAACATTTAAAAGAACTAAAGAGGGGGCCGGCCCTGTGGCTTAGCTGTTAAGAGCACGCGCTCCGCTACTGGCGGCCCAGTTTCGGATCCGGGCGTGCACCAACGCACTGCTTGTACGGCTATGCTGAGGCCGTGTCCCACATACAGCAACTAGAAGGATGTGCATCCATGACATACAACTATCTACTGGGGCTTTGGGGAGTAAAAGGGAAAAAAAGGAGGAGGATTGGCAATAGATGTTAGCTCAGGGGCGGCCTTTGTCACAATAAATAAATAAATAAATAAATAAATAAATAAATAAATAAATAAAAATAAAAGAATTAAAGACTGCGTAAAAATATATCTGCATTAACCCTGGAATCCTAGGCGTGCCACCAGTAGACCAGAGCTAAGAGAAATTTCTAAGAGGAAGAAAAGATAAGAGAGTCATTTGATAATGAAATCTAACATAGGTAGGCAAGCAGCCATTTTATATGAATGAAAACCAGGTCTTGTAAAATGAGGGTGGTATTGATTGTGGCCAAATAGCCTGAGGTAATTCTGAAAGAAGAAACTTTTTCTTCCCACCCACTTCAGCTTGTAGATCCCTGGGGCTAAAAGAGTCACCATCACAGGAGGAGATCAATTTCAGGGAAAATGAGTGTGGGGGAGGAAAAATAATTTTCCCCCTGCCCTTCTAGGTTCTTGGCTGAGATCCCTCACCTTCAATAAAAAACAGATTAACAGGAGAAAAACCAACAGAAGTTTAATAACATGTATACCTCCTGTATACATGGGAGATACCCTGGAAAACTGAGTAACTCCCTGAAATGGCCCAAGCCATCACCTTAAATACCATCTCCAGCTAAAAGGTAAAAGATGTTGGGGTTGGGGGGATCAGTTATGGGAGGTTATCAGGCAAAGCATAGAAAACAAGGGTAAGGTGGTTATGCAGATTTAAGTCTGTGCCTTCTCCATTGATAAGAATTTCCAAAGATTTAGAGTCTTCCTTCTAGTCCTGGTACAGAGAGGGAGACACCGCTACAAATGGATATTTCCCTTATATATTAAATGTCTCTTAAAAAAGGGTAACTTCTATTCAGTTTTCGAAACTTCTCCTGTGTCTGCTATTTCTTAAAAATAATCATCTCAAAATAATCCTTACGCCAAAAAGGCCTATTTTGGGGTGGCATATTCTGTTCCCCCTCAATAGAAATGGCAGTGCAGGGTAAAAAAAAAATAGAGAAGTCCTCAACTCAGAACCCACGCTGAGCACAAGAAGGTGCAAACTCCCTCCTTTGAAAAGAGTTATACATAGGCACGCTCACTGATATCACACACATCGTAAGCAAAGGCTTCAAATCTATCTTGGTGATGCTCACGACTTATGGCATGTTACTCAATATAGTATGGTCATCCACACACAAGATGAGTAATAACAAAGAATACAGCTCAATTTTTTACCCTTTATCATCAACATCATCATTTGGTGTTCAGTTTAGAAGGGTCTCAAAAATGTTTGGATCATTTATTTTTTATCTAGAGGAACATATTTTTTAGGTTTAAGAGGAATGTGTTTAATCCCATATTTTTTGTTTTGTTTTGTTTCTGTGAGGAAGATCAGCCCTGAGCTAACATCAATGCTAATCCTCCTCTTTTTGCTGAGGAAGACCGGCTCTGAGCTAACATCTATTGCCAATCCTCCTCCTTTTTTTTTTTTTCCCCAAAGCCCCAGTAGATAGTTGTATGTCATAATTACACATCCTTCTAGTTGCTGCATGTGGGACGCGGCCTCAGCATGGCCGGAGAAGTGGTGCGTCGGTGGGCGCCCGGGATCCGAACCAGGGCCGCCAGTAGTGGAGCGTGTGCACTTAACTGCTAAGTCATGGGGCCGGCCCCTAACCCTGTATGTTTTTCCTGCTATTCTGACCTAGTCACAAAAACTCGGCAGAATTAACCATCTAAACAACAAAAAACAACCACAAATCCTCTCTCCCTGCTCTCAGACATTCTTCAGGGTATATTTTTTTTCTGTCTGAAAAATTAGACTCTTGTGAATTTCAGGCCTGAGACAAACCTGAGAAATCACATATATTTAAGTCCATCATTTTCAGATGAGGAAACTGAGACCTATAAATCACACAAGTTGCTAAAGTCATACAGTCCATATCAGCAGTACTGAGACTGTGAGATGGATGCCTGCTCCTGGTCAATCCAGGGCTCTGTCTCACACTGTTTACCCCTTTCAAACAACTCCCACTTTATTTTGCCAGGAGCTGTAGTAAGACTTCGGGTGACAGCACAGCCAGCAGCTCTGTTGACTGAGTGGTTAGCAGGCTTTCAGTACAGGAAGCGAGTGGCAGTGCCCCACGGTGTGTCTGCAGCACAGAGGTAGGTGGCTGAGTCTGCAGGCTGGGAGGCTGTGATATGAAAGGAGCCCTGTTTGGTGGTTGTATCAAATGTGGCCCTCAGCCTTCCTGTCTGTTTCTCGCGCTCATTTTCACGTATTAGTAACAAGAAGATGAGGCCTTTTCCCAGATCTTGTCGGTACCACTGTAAGGACACTGGAGAATAATTTGTGTAGTTACAGGTCAGAATGGCCTTTTCACCCTCCTGGATGCTCAGGGACTGAGGAGTCTGTTCCATCTTTTGGCTGCTCACCGCTAGGCAGAAACACAATGCCAGAAACAAGAGGTTTAGTCATTACATCGACACTCTCAAGAGTCATATTTTCTTCCCACAACCCCAGATATAACCAAAGAGGAAGCAGAATGGATCCTGGCCTTTCCCCTCCATCCTGTGGGCTGTGTCCCTGGATCTCTTTGACCTCATCACCAGGAAGCCTCCAACTCACAGTCCACTGGAAGCCACAAAATCACCAAAACAATTCCCAGGAATGGCTCCATTCTCTTCCCAGCTCTGGCCTGAAATGTGGACTCAGTTTCCTCAGTCAAAAGGCCATTCTCTTTAGTTTGGTGAGTGTTACTGGTCTTCCTCTATCAAAGGAAGTCTCTGCTTCTTACCCAGCCAATCAGTGACAAGTCTGTTTAGCCCTTTACATATACAACTGGCCTAATCCAACTTTAAAATGAACTTTATTTCAAAGCTGAGAAAGGATCTGAAGGGATAGGAAACACTGCCATCATGTGTTCAGAAGGTTTTTGCAATAATGGAATGAGTTCTAGAACAGCGTCTCTCAAATTTACTGTGCATACACGTCACCTAGGGATTGCGCTAAGAAGCAGATTCTGTTTCATTAGGTCTGGGTTGGGGTTGGATGGATAGTCTACATTTCTAACAAGTTTATTGGGGACGTTGGTGTTGCTGATTGTCAGATCACACTTTAAGTAGCAAGTCTAGAAGAATCTAGAATTGATTATCAGTACATGAAAACAGAATTTGCAGTATTAAGGTTTAAAACAGGATAAATGGTCAAGTTTCCCAAGGTCTCCATTCCATTGCCCAGTGAAACTACTCTGCTGTTCCCAGAACAGCTGCCACAGGATGTCATGAGCCCTAGATAAGGTAAAGCACAGGCGCAGGCGTGGAGAATGCATGGCTGAATTTTAGGAAACTGACTCAGATTCGGAGACTGGAACTCCTCTCTTCACCCTTATTGGCCTCCCAGCAGGTAGGGAAATTATTGCTTTGATATCAAAAGGTCTTTCTGCTGGGCTTGTTGGGCTGTTGTAAGTAAATACTCAGTTTAAATCCAGCAAGAACTCAAATCAGTGAAGTTTGCCAGGTCACGCAGAATGCTTTCTGAGAGGCCCTGTAAATTGTTTTTATAATACAATAGTCGTATATCAGATCTTCCTTCTTTTCTACTTTGCTAATGCCAATATGGATGTATTGTAGTCATTCTCTCACATACATTTATGTCATTCTGTGCTCTAAAGGATGGATGGATGGATAGATGGACAGACAGATGGATGGATGAATGCCTGGAAGAAAGAACGAAGAGAATGTGCTGGAGCATGATGAGAGACAAAGCTGGAAGGCAAGTTTGGGTCTAGAAAGCAGAAGATTTTGAACGCCTGAATTCATTTGTAAGTTATTTATTAGCAAAGAATTGCTGAGGCTTTTGAGCAAGTGAGTAATATTGTGAAAATTCTATACATTTAATCTGGCTGCTTGTCCATAGAGTAATTTGGAGAAGTAAGATGGTAGGCATTGTAGAATAATCTTTAAGAGATTATGTTCCAGCCTCAAACTGATCTGGCTTTGAAACCCAGCTGTTCCCTTTAATCTCTCTAATCTCTTGAGAAAACTACTTAATGTCTTCAAGTTCCAGTCTCCTTGTCTGTAAAATGGGATACCATCAGGATATTATTAAGAGGAATAGAGGGACTAATGTACATAAAACACTTTGTATGTACATCATACACAGGAAGAGCTCAATAAATGTGAAGTATTAATACAGGAAAAAAATGTAATGGAGACTGAACAAGCAGTCAAGAGGTCATTGCTGCCTTCTTATCATGAGGTATAGTGACTGAACCATGGCCACTGAACTTCAGGGCTAGGAGGAACTTTAGAGAATTTGCAGAAAATGATGGATTAGTGAGACTTCAAATCAAAAAAGATTCATATTTTGGGGGCCGGCCCAGTGGCACAAGGGGTTACATGCACGCGCTCCGCTGCAGTGCCCGGGGTTCACCGGTTCGTATCCCGGGCACGCACCGACGCACCACTTGGCAAGCCATGCTGTGGCGGCGTCCCATATAAAGTGGAGGAAGATGGGCATGGATGTTAGCTCAGGGCCAGTCTTCCTCAGCAAAAAAAAAAAAAAAAAAAAGAGGAGGATTGGCAGATGTTAGCACAGGGTTGATCTTCCTCACAATAAAAAAAAAAGATTCATATTTCATATTTTGGAAAACAGATGAAATGGAATGAAAAGAGAAAAATTCCTACTTATCCTATCAAGCAAAGATATACATTATCAATATCTCAGTGTATTACTTTCCAAACTTTGTACTGTTTATATTTTTACTAAGTAGCAATCACATAAGTTAATATCTTGATTCATTTCAATTACCACTTTTAAATAATCATTATAGATTCTCTTTATAAATACCATTTATTTTCTATGTAATGCTCCATTTTGGTGATTAAATCTTTCCCTTTAAGATTAGATATTTTAGTTTTCAATTTTTGGGTGGTATAAGTAACTTTCGAAATATCTTTGTAAATAATTATTTTTTATTCACTGAGGGTTTTCCTGAGGACAGATTCCTTATATAAAATTATAACAAAGAAAATTGATATGTTTTTAGATTACTAAGTCACGTTTTTTAAATTATAGGCATACCTTGTTTTATTGTGCTTTGCAGATATTGTGTGTGTTTTTTTTTTCAAATTTAAGGTGTGTGGCAACCCTGCCTTGAGCAAGTCTATCGGGGCCGTTTTTCCAACAGTGTTTGCACTCTTCGTGTCTCTGCATCACATTTTGGTAATTCTCACAATATTTCTAACTTTTTCATTATTATTATATTTGTTATGGTAATCTATGATAAGTGATCTTTTTGATGTTACTGTTATAATTGTTTGGGTGCACCACAAATCGTGCCCATGTAAAAAGGAAAACTTAATCCACAAATATTGTGTGTGTTCTGAGTGCTCCACCAAGTGGACGTTCCCTCACCTCTCTCCCTCTCCTCAGGCCGCCCTATTTCCTGAGACACAACAATATTGACATTAGGCCAATGAATAACCCTGCAATGGCCCCTAAGTGTTCAAGTGAAAGGGGGAGTTGCATGTATCTCACTTTAAATCAAAAGCTAGAAATAATTAAGCTTAGTGAGGAAGGCATGTTGGAAGCTGATATAGGCAGAAAGCTAGGCCTCTTGCACCAAACAATTAGCCAAGTTGTGAATGCAAAGGAAAAATTCTTGAAGAAAATTAAAACTGTTACTCCAGTGGGTAGGTGAATGATAAGAAAGTGAAACAGCCTTATTGCTAATATGTTGAAAGTTTTAGTGGTCTAGATAGAAGATCAAACCAGCCACAACATACCCTTAAGCCAAAGCCTATTCCAAGGTGAGGCCTAACTCTCTTCATTTCTATGAAGGTTAAGAGAGGTGAGGAAGCTGCAGAAGAAAAGTTGGAAGGTAGCAGATGTTGGTTCATGAGGTTTTAGGAAAGAAGCTGTCTCCATAAGATAAAAGTCAAGGTGAAGCAGCAAGTGCTGATGTAGAAGCTGCAGCAGGTTATCTAGAATATCTAGCTATGATAATTAATGAAGTTCGCTACAATATACAACAGATTTTCCATGTAAATGAAACAACCTTATATTGGAAGAAGATGGTATCTAGGACTTTCATAGCTAGAGAGAAGTCAACGCCTGGCTTCAAAGCTTCAAAAGACAGGCTGACTCTCTTATTAGGGGCTAATGCACCTCCTGACTTTAAGTTGAAGCCAATGCTCATTTACCATTCCAAAAATCCTAGGGCCCTTCATAATTAGGCTAAATGTACTTTGTGCTCTATAAATTAAACAACAAAGCCTGGATGACATCCCATCTATTTACAACATGGTTTAATGAATATTTTTAAGCCCGTTGTTGAGACCCACTGCTCATAAAAAAGATTTATTTCAAAATATTGCTGCCCCTTGACAATGCAAGTGGTCACCCAAGAGCTCCGATGGAGATGTACAACAAGATTAATGTTGTTTTCATGTCTGACAACACAACATCCATTCTGTAGCCCATGGATCAAGGAGTCATTTTCACTTTCCAGTCTCATTATTTAAGAAATATATTTCATAAGGCTGTAGCTGTCATAGGCAGTGATTCTTCTGATAGATCTGGGCAAAGAAAGTTGCAAATCTTCTGGAAAAGATTCACCATTCTAGATCCGTTAAGAACATTCATGATTCATAGGAAGAGGTCAAAATATCAACATTAACAGAATTTGGAAGAAGTTGATTCCAACCCTCATGGATGACTTTGAGGGGTTCAAGACTTCAGTGGAGAAAATAACTGCAAATGTGGTGGAAATAACAAGAGAACTAGAATTAGAAGTGGAGCCTGAAGATGTGACTGAACTACTGCAATCTCAAAACAGATGAGGAGTTGCTTCTTATGGATGAGAAAAGAAAGTGATTTCTTGAGATGGAATCTACTCCTGGGGAAGATACTGTGAAGATCGTTCAAATGACAACAAAG